AGAAATCATATCACTAATTCCATTGTGGAATTAGTTGTTATAGCTTAACCCCAAATCTCTTCTGGTTAAAATTAGATTACTTATAAATTAGTAGAATGTATACAAACACTTTGTTGGTAACGGAAATATTTCAAGTCTTTTATTGTCTTAATAATAATGATTTTGGCATACAGCTAATGAGAACCCAAAATTCCTATCTCACAAAATTAGCAATCATAAAAATGGTCTCTAAACAAGCTATGCACCTAAACATCAGAATCAACAAATTAACTATAAACACCTGCAAAAGATTCCTTTGGTCTTTAAAACTTCCAGCCTTGATCATCACTCAAAACCCCAATCATGGGTAAGAATGCCGACCTGACTGCTGTCCAGAAGGCCATCATTGACACCCTCAAGCAAGAGGGTATGTCACAGAAAGATATTTCTGAATGAATAGGCTGTTCCCAGAGTGCTGTATCAAGGCACCTCAGTGGGAAGTCTTTGGGAAGGAAAAAGTGTTGCAGAAAACGCTGCACAACGACAAGAGGTGACCGGACCCTGAGGAAGATTGTGGAGAAGGGCCGATTCCAGACCTTGGTGGACCTGCGGAAGCAGTGGACTGAGTCTGGAGTAGAAACATCCAGAGCCACCTAGCACAGGCGAGTGCAGGAAATGGGCCACAGGTCCCGCATTCCCCAGGTCAAGCCACTTTTGAATCAGAAACAGCGGCAGAGGTGCCTGACCTGGGCTACAGACGAGCAGCACTGGACTGTTGCTCAGTTTTGCATGTCATTTGGAAGTCAAAGTGCCAGAGTCTGGAGGAAGACTGGGGAGAAGGAAATGCCAGAAGTCCAGTGTCAAGTACACACAGTCAGTGATGGACTGGGGTGCCATGTAAGCTGCTGGTGTTGGTCCACTTTGTTTATCAAGGGCAGGGTCAATGCAGCTAGCTATCAGGAGATTTTGGAGCACTTCATGCTTCCATCTGCTGAAAAGCTTTATGGAGATGAAGATTTTTCAGCACGACCTGGCACCTGCTCACAGTGCCAAAAACACTGGTAAATGGTTTACTGACCATGGTATCACTGTGCTCAATTGACCTGCCAACTCTCTTGACCTGAACCCCATAGAGAATCTGTGGGATATCGTGAAGAGAAAGCTGAAAGACGCAATACCCAACACTCTGGATGAGCTAAAGACCGCTATTGAAGCATCCTGGGCCTCCATAACACCTCAGCAGTGCCACAGGCTGATTGCCTCCATGCCAAGCTGCATTGAAGCAGTCATTTCTGCAAAAGGATTCCCCACCAAGTATTGAGTGCATAACTGTACATAATTATTTGAAGGTTGACTTTTTTGTACTAAGAGCACTTTTCTTTTATTGGTCAGATGAAATATGCTAATTTTGTGAGATAGGAATTTTGGGTTTTCATGATCTGTATGCCAAAATCATCTGTATTAAGACAATAGTCCCAACGAAGCCTCAGGTCACATTACTAAATGATTACCGGCCTGTTGCACTGACTCCAGTCATGATGAAGTGCTTCGAAAGGCTGGTTAACCTCTTAACATCCACCTCATTTTTGGTACAGTAATCCTTGTCTATTTTGCTTATACATAATGGAGAAGCAAATAACTTAGGAACTGTAAGCACAAATTACATGTGCAATGCATTATTTGAAATCTATCACCCTCTAGTTTCCTAATATGTAAATTAAATTTGGGTGACTAGAACACAGACCAAACTGCAACAGTTCAAACATGACTCAAAGTTGTTGTTTTTCATTCTCGGAAATGATAGGTCTTTTTTGAACAGCAGTAATAAAGACATTCTTGAGAAAAAGCAGATTTAATTGTATTATATTTGTTCTACATCATGTCAACCCCAAATGCAGAAAATTACAGACCTCTAGTTATAACAGTTCCGGAGCTGTGTGGTATGGAACTTTTGGAGGAGCGAGCTCTGCAAGTTGCAAAATAATCAGAGAAAAATATTCAAAAGCGTCACCAAGGAGAGGTGGATTATTATCAAATTCATTTCATGTGTATCTCATCTCATGTCTTTCCTATCACATCAATTGGATTTGAAAATAATACTTTTCTGAGGAATTTCCAAAAGTGTAGATAACAAATGGCACCTCTATTTTATTATTAGAATAAGTATACAATGAGCAATTACTACACTTAACTTGTAGGATACACAGATAACTTCATCTGGATCATACTACAACTCTTTCTTTGGGAAGATAGGCCAAGGTTGTTTTTTTTTGTTTTTTTTTTATATTTATTCATTGTTATTATAAGCATATAATAACCAATAATTACACAACAGATAATTGTAGTGCAACAAAAAATGTAGCACACATAGATAACCTTATCTTGTTCACACTACAACTCTTACTTTGGGAAAATGTGCTAAATTCTATTTTTTTTTAGATTTTTCGTTGTTTTTATAAGCATATAAAAGCCAATAATTTCTTATGACCTAGACATTTTATTTAGTCATTTAGTATACACAAGTGTAAAGAAAAAGAAATTTATTTTACAACAGCTCTAGACAATTTCATATTTTAAAGTGCAGCCTTGAAAACAGTAATAAATACATTAAAAAAAAAATATATAAACATACGACTGTTTATATACAGTTCTAACATTCTTTTTTTTTTACTTTGGGGAGATAGGCCAAACTGTATTTTTGGAGATTTATTCATTGTTATTATAAGCATATAATAGCCAATAATTACACTATAGATCATTGTAGTTCCACAAAACTTGTGGCACACATAGATAATCTCATCTAGTTCATACTACAACCCTTACTTTGGGGAAATGTGCTAAACCCTATTTTTTTTAGATATTTTCATTATTATTATTAGCAGGCCACATGCGCAATCTCTGCAACAGGAACCACAGCACTGAGCGTTTTGTGCACTGCACAAAGTATACCTGTCACAAATGCAGGATTAACTCACCTTGGGTTTGTGAAAACTGCTAATTGTAGCTTCATATGTAGTGCTTTTCCTTGGGTGAAATAAGTGTTACTCCAATACTGAAATCATACTGTTTGTCATTCTCTAAGCTGAAATGTTGAATGACATGAAAAGGTGAGACAAGGCAAAATACAATTATTCTCTACGTTTCTTTCATATAGTGAGCTTTGCAATATAAATGAGTCTGTTGGTGAATGGACAATATAAATAGGCTCTGCCTTCCCTTGTTGGAAAGCATGGTTATGACCTGTTCTCAGATCAGGAACTAGGACCCGTATGATATCTGGTTGTTCAATAGGTCTGGCTAAATAAAAGATTTAGATATGACTTATCAAGATATTCCTGCAAAAAGGTCTGATGTTGCAGGGGCAGGTAATGAAAAGTGTTTAGAGCATGCTCTTGTTCTGATGCCAGTTTGTTTCAGCCTTATGAAGTCTCATGTGGAAGGGCTGGTCATATCAAAGGTTATTTGCATTACAAGGACAGTTAGCAAGGTAGAGTGAATACACAAAGATGAAGAGGGGACGGGGGCTTGCAGGAAAACTGGAATTCTCTGGGACTTGTAGTGTTAAAGACATTTCATCCCAGCACTGTGTGTACCGAGCCCGTAACATCATAAATGACCCCTCACACCCCCACCGTGGACTGTTCTTTCTGCTGCCCTCGGGGAAGAGGCTTCGAAGCATCCGATGCAGGTCCAGCAGATTCCATAACAGTTTCTTCCCCACTGCCATTAGAATCCTGAATGTTATGTAAAATGTGTTATCTTAAAGTATTTTATTATATTCATTATATTTTGTTATTAAAAAAATGCTAGAACTGTAAATATACATTCATATGTTTATATTACTGTTTTTATGTATTTTTACTGTTTTCAAGACTGCACTTCAAAAAAATGAAACTGTCTAGACAGCTATTCTTAACTAATTTTTTTTTGTTTACACTTGTGTATACAAAATGAAAAGATAAATCTGTCTAAGTCTAAGTTGTTGGTGATTTAGCTGGGATCTAAAACAACGTTTTCTGAGCATTGGCAATTTTAATCTAGTCAGGTTCCATTATCTTTAATCAAAGTTATAATTTTAGCTGTGACGAAAAACTCTTTATCTAGTTTTTGTCTTTTCTTTGTCACTCCAGTATGTTTTATTTACATACTTTCCTGACTAACTTGAGTAATATGTAAAAGACAGAAGTTTTTCCCATGATTTAAGTAAATAGGGGAGCAAAAATTATAAAGCTGTTTGTACACATTAACCTTCAATTACGTGTATTCGTTCAGGTCTAAAACAACACAATGTAGCTTTTCTTTAAATTAAAAAAATCTATGACTGAAAATGAAGATAAAATGTTTTATTAACTTTTCAAATACATTTTAGATTACATAGAACATGATTACAATCTTTGATTGAGGAAAACAAAGTGGAATCCCAGTAAAATTACAGAAGCCACTTTTTCAAATTACGAGACATATATTCAGAAAATACAATATACATATGAAAATTTATATATAGGAGCTCTTTGGACATAGCTTCTAGCATTCTAATCTCTATTATTTGGTATCACTTTATTGATCTAATTGAAGAGCCTAACTGAAGCAGTTTGGGCTAAGTTAAATTTGTGTAAATGAGAACATTTCTATACTCTTTAATTCAAAGCACAGTTTTGACTAACAATCTATCATTATTTAAATTGGTGGACTATTATTATTATTACTATTTACTCCTAACAGAACAACAACTAGCCTATCTGAAAATGTTGGCAGTTCAAAACATATATATATATATATAAAAATCAAAACATGGGTTAAAAGAGATAGATAGACAGAGATAGATACTCTGATCAATAGGGAGTTGTTTAGTATATAAAGTTTGCGCAACAAAGGTTAAATTGTTACATTTACGTCTGGATATATAACAGGATGAAAGAAATTCAATTCTAAAGTATTAAAAATAACTGCAAAAGCTAAAAGGATCATTCTTGATTCATAGTGTGATCAAGAAAAATGAATAAAGTTACATTTTTTCTAAGGTTAACATAAGCATTGAACATGTACTTTTAATTAAAAAGTGTTGTTTGTTTCAGGGTATTTATGAATCTATGCTGCGCAGCTGAACCCAGTGCTGCTTTACCATTGAAAGCACTGTTGACACATCTAAGAAAGAAATTTAATTTTGATAGAGTTTTGTGGACACATGAAAAGGATTCATAGTAACATATTCACAGTTATGTTAACAAACCATGGTTGTGAAGGAAGGAAGGAAGGAAGGAAGGAAGGAAGGAAGGAAGGAAGGAAGGAAGGAAGGAAGGAAGGAAGGAAGGAAGGAAGGAAGGAAGGAAGGAAGGAAGGAAGGAAGGAAGGAAGGAAGGAAGGAAGGAACACCAGAACAATATAACAACAGTCAGTCAGTTTAAAAGCAATAATATTGTTAAAGAAATTATGTTTCCACATTTGTCATGATGACCAGTATCATTGCTTCATTGGGTTTGTGATCTGAAAAAAAATGAGTATTCAAAATAAATTTGTCACATATACTAATATTTACAGCAATGTTCAAAAGTAAAATTAACGTCTTACCCTTTTCATGATGTTGGCTAATTTAAGCTCTTGTTCACCTCCTTGTATGATTTCATTACCCTTTCAAGTTCTTTTGAAACATCTAACAAAGTAATATCTGATTGTTAGTGGCATAAAATATGTACAAAATGCTGTTCAGTCCATATCTTGAATACATATACTCTTGCTTTACCTGGAACTGATTGGTCATCAGCCTTGAGTGAGAGTTCAATGGTTCCTTCCAAAGTATCCATTGTTTCCAGGATTTCCTTCTAATTAAGCATAAAAACTACATTATTGCATAGAGATCTAAAACTGAGGGCAAAATAATTTACACTTCAAATATTTTGTGAAGTATCCCAATCTAAGATTGTAAATTTGAAAAGAAATCCAACCTTTTAGAAGCAATAAACAGTGCCACACAGTCATCTGACCGCCTTTTAAAATACCTAATCCATTACTCACAGAACAGGCGTCTTGAAAGTACAGCTTTTGGGGAGTTGCTCTATAAGACTACTGTGTTTAACAATAGAAACCTGGTGGAAGCCGAAGATCCCTGACTCTAGTGTTGTCATGATCTTGGCACTGATAACCTGTTTTGCCTCTTAACCCTGAGCCTGCCTGTTCCCTTCTGAACCGCTTGCCTGAACTGTCTTTGGAGTCTTGGACCTTTGAGCCTGCGTGTTCCTGTTCTGATCTGTTTGCCTGACCTGGCTTCGTACTCCTGCATATTCTGTGGGGCTTCAGCATCTGGGACATCTTGTTGGCAGCCCACTGGCTGGATCCTACCTCATTCTCTCGCTATGGCCTGAACTGTTATACCAGGTTAGTGACTCACTTGTCCATAATCATTCCCCCTTCAGAATATCAGAGTCACTAACCTCACTAACCTTTTGAGCTCCAGTCCTGGTGCTCAAAAAACAACATGGCACTAAACAATACTAAAGAGATTATCGTTTATAGGGCAGTCAATACAGAACAGAGGATTGTTGGCTGCTCTCTCTCCTCTCCTCATTTAAACCACCCGTTGCCTCAAGCACAGTTCACACTCAGCTGTTTTTATTGTCCTGGGGGGTGTTGCAAATGCATTAAAATTAAGACAAACACAGTGGAAAAACTATGATATGTAAACATTATTCAGCTGAAACTATTTATAATAATCAATATTAATATCACTGCTATTGCTGCTGCTCTGATCTACTCTACTTTATAAGACACCTTATGTACAATATTATCATCTGTGAATGAAGGGGCGCCCGACCAATAGAGGGCGCTAGGACGCCGCCCCACCCTCCTAATGACCTTAATTAAGAAATTTAAAAAAATTTAAATTAAATTATAAACTCAAAATATTTAGAAACATATTGATATATATATATATATATATATATATATATATATATATATATATATATATATATATATATATATATATATATATATATATATATATGCAAAATAAATATTTAATCTTTAATGATGAGTAAAGCTGTTTTGTTTTTCGTCGGATTGGTGACGTATTTCCGCCCTAGGGTACAAAAATTTTGACCATAGACTCTTGTTAAAAGTTGTACGTGAGCAGTACCACATCTGCAATACAGAAGTATTGGTACCTCATGGCGCAGGAGAAGTGCGCCCCAAGGTGGAAGGAACTGTTGTCATAGACGAAGTGGGGCTGATTGACAGGTCGAGTCGTGAAAGAGGAATCCTTTAAAGCAAAGCTGGAGGTGAAACTGTTTGGACCTGATCAGCTGAAAATCAAAATGAATCAGCAGTCCAAAGACAGAGAGAGACGGTCAACTCTGTCTTTTCCAGGACCTAGTTTAGTGACAAGGCTTGGCAAACAGGATCCAGTGATTAATGATTAAAAAGGATCTATGATGCAGTGGGTGTTTTTCTTTCTTAATGATCTTGAAATCTTGTGAAAGGGTAGAGAATCATGGACTCCAAAACATATATATTTCTTATTATTTTGAGCATAGGCAGAGGTTCAACTGAATAAACTGATTATTCGCCTTCATTCGCCTGCGACACAGCCAATCAGCTTTGAACCACGAAAGCCAATCAGCATCCAAAGTGCTGTGTGACTTCATTCAGATGACCCTGTTTCAACACACCTCCAGCCCCTCCTACACCATCTTAGCTGAAGCCTCATATGGGTTTCATTATGACCGCACTCTTACTGCATTCCGCACCTCATTTTAACCTGCCTGGCAGAAGACCACCATGTTGAGCCTGGTTGGACCTCAGGTTTCTTCCCAAGAAGATTGCCAGTAATTGTGGAAGGTTTTGATTTTGATATATTTTTAAAGTTCAGATTTAATTTAGACTGTGCAACATAAATAGTGTTTCAAAATCAATTGATGGACAAACCCTTAAGCTCAGGAGATGATCCAACATGGCAGTTTTAGCATCCTCAAACATTGTGTCTTTAAACCCATGAACACGCTTCTTTAGGGTTTCTCTCATCTTCTCCAGCATACCGGTACCCGAGTATCCTGCTGCAGCTGCAAAAACCATAGATTATAGATTGATTACAAATGGTATAGAAAGAATTAAGATATTTCTAATTTCAAAATAAATGAGAGATTTTAATGACATTTCTTACTCTTGTAGCACTCTTGCATCTTTTGCTCAATTGTCTGTGTCAGGCTGAGGTAGATTATTTTCTTCTGGTCTTGAATCATTCTGCTCAGTGTTGTCTTAACTTTCTCTTCCTAAGAGAAATGAAAAATGTTTCACCACTACAACATACAGTAGGCCATCCTTATTATTTTTTTCAAAACACAAGACAAATTGGAAATCTCAACTAGTGTTATAGAAATCTACTAATAATGTTTATTTTCTCTCATCGTTTACTGTACCTCTGTCCCAAGAAATTTCAGCTGCAATTGTACATCTTTGTACTTCAGCTTCAGCTTTTCAGTGTCAAGTGAAAATTTGTTAATAACACCATTAAATGGACCAATTTCTTGCTCCTTTCTGAAACGTTTTGACATGAAGAAATCGTTAAAAATTGCACTTTGTTATTATTTTCTCTTAAGATTACTAGAGTGGAAAGGCTTTCATATAATTATAAAGATCTTACGGGAATGTCTTCCTGAATTCCTCATCAATGCTGTCAGTCAGGAATGATGAAAGTATCATGTTGAGGTTTATTTCTCTTCCAGTTTTTGGTTTGTGGATTCCACCTTTTTTGACAACACTTTTTAATGTTCTGTGATAAGTACCACCACTCCTTCCCTTAAAAAATAAGTAACATTTTGAAAAAATTTGACAAAACTCAATTTGATGATTATCAGATGATTAATATAAAAAGAAAAGCATACCCGAGGGAATAAAATCTGATTCAGCTTTTTTTCACATGACCTTTTGGAGTTTTCAACCCCTTTTTGGAGGTGTTTTTCAAAAACACAGGAAGCTTTTTCCATCTCCTTTTGTACTAAAGAACGATGAAGGACTAATTTTCTCTTAAGCTCTTCACATACATCCATGTTTTGTCCAGGCTACAAAGAAAAGCATGCAAAACAACAGATTTTTAGTAAATGCAAAAAAGCCTAGTCTGTTTATTGAAGGAACAATTCCTTTTTGCCAATGCAACTTTGTTTAATAATAATAGTAATAATAATAAAAAAAAATAAATAATAATAATAATAATAATAATAATACTACGATATTTTTTGGGATTTAACAACACTTTATTTAAACAGTTCAAACTATAGAACCAAATATTGAAAAAAATCACTTTATTGTAAAAACAGGTGTCAGTGAAAAATCATTAAATGAGGAGCCCGCTAAATTGTAGTTGTCCATCTGACACAGTACAAAAAATTTTGTCAAAACCCCACAACTAAATAAAATCCTCCATGTTCTGTGTGGCCCTGTGGAAGTGAAACTCCAGCCTTATTCTGAAGAAGAAGAACATTTTTCTTTGAAAGTATGGATAATATTATGTTAGAAAAGTATAGAGCTAAAAAAAACAATGTACAGAAGATCACAGAGATGTGAATGTGAAAGGTCTTGGAGATACTTTAATGTTTGAGTAGCAAACTTTAATTTAATGCAGTTTTTTATGGGAAGCCAATGAGGTTGGTGGAGAAAAACAGCAAGAAGCTTAATGTAAGGAGTTCTGGTGATCAATTAAACATTTAAGGTGTTTAATATTTAAAGTTAATGGATTATTCTAACTTTACAGCAAACACTTTTCAGGGCTCATATTTAAAATAGCTTTGCATTGATGAACATTTCTCTGTCTACAGACATTTATGCAGCTAACGAGAGAAACAAAAGTTTCCCTTTAAATTCTGACCTGTTTTTTCAAGCTGGCTCCTTGAATCAAAGAGAGAATCCCTTGAGCTCTAGATATATAACTCAATGTCTCTGAGTGATCATCATTGAGTTCCTGCAAAAAATCCTGAAGTTTGGGGATTTCTGTAAAAATAAAACCACATCAACTATGATTTTAAGTTTCCCAACCAGATTCCTCAGAGTTTCTTTATCATTAACAAGATATTCAGACAAATTTATTATAAAACATACCAGTATTTTCTTGACTTAGAACACTCTGTCTCAGAAACTCCTCGGAGCTCACTGTGAACACTTGGAAAGACCCATCAGTGAAGTGTTTCTATATCAATTAGATTTTCAGTTTATTTTTTGTAGTTTTGGACAGTATTGCTATAATATAATCTGTCAACATTTAAAGCTTACCTTAATCTTGTTTAGCTTGTTGAATTCTTTTCTCACTGCTTCTTTCGTTTCCATGTTTCTTTTGAGGATTGAGTCTTGAACATCACCTGAGCTGAAAGAAAAGTTATGTTGCTACTTTAGAGTTGTTTTTGTGAAGAGGCTGTTTCTCTACAGAATCCTGATCCCTAAAGATTGCTATCACTCATATAGAGCATAACAGAGCAAATATTTAAATCTGAGGATTCCTAAACAGTATAGCCATTTTTAACTCCTATAAAAGGTTAATGCGCAGAATATTTTTCATTAACTCCAATAGCAGTTACATTAGAACATGTTCGGCAAGCAGTAGGTTGGTATCACTGATGAATCCTTAACCTAACTCTAAGGTTATTCCTTTTTCCTGAAGAATTGATTAATTTATGTTTGTCTAATCTGCAAATATTTTCAGTAGTTCTTGATGTAATTTTAAAAAGAAAGAAAGATCTGCATGTCACCAACCAATAACAAAAAAATCTTATCGTGTCAGCTGAGTTGTTTTGAATCCTTGCATTAAATCCTTGTGACTGAAACATATAATTAATTGGAAGTAAACTTTAAAACATAGTTGTTTCTTTAAATAGGTACATTTTAAATAAAGTAGATAAAAACTATAAAGTAATAAATAAAATGTGTGGTTTTAGATGTGGCCGAAGGAGCTGTTATCAATTATAAACTTCACGTCATCAGACATAATAAACCAACTAGAGGAGGAACTCCCTGAAGCCATTCTATGGGACTAGTGCTGCCTTGACTGTGCAGTTTTATTTTCTTTAATGCTATTGCCACACAATCCAATGTTCTCTCATTGATATCGAGCTCTCTTAAATAAGTCTGTGTAATGCTACAAATGTGAGGACGAATGAGGTCTCAAATGTATGTGATGGATTGGGAGATGAAATGGTAGTGCTCATAAACTTTATTTTCTGAATATGAAAGTTATCCATTCATTATCTGTGAATTAATGCTGATCATTCTTTAACAAGATCCTCATCAAAAGGACATGCAATGTTTGATTTTTAAAACTTACAATGTCTAATGGACCAAGTGGGAACTACAGACTAAATCAGGAAATAAAACAAAACAAATAAAACCTAGGGGACCGGAGAAAGAACAAAACCTGCTCCCGATCAGGTTAGCTCTGGGGAGAATGTTACTATGGTGACTGAAACAGAGGTTGAATAAACTCCCTTTGAGAAACAAAAACTCAAGAGTTTTCGGTAACCCTGCTTTTTGAAACTGACCTCTGCACAAACCCTCTGAAGATGAGGCCAATAATTTATCAATTATTCATAAAGGAACATGTACACTTCCTGATCTTACTAACATTTTCCAGAAAGAAGTTTCATATTTTGTTTAACTTTACACATTTAGTGCTTGAGTTCACTTACTGATTAGTTGACTTTTGAATAATGTCAGACTTTGTGCAAATAATGTGAATTTTTCTGCACTCCCCACCATTTCCAATGAGACTACTGACACTGTTCAGGATATCCCAGGATTCTTTATCTGCTGCTGCTCGGTTGACTTCTGTCACAATCCATACAGTAGAGCAGCTTCCAACAATCTATTGTAGAAAAACATATACACTGATGAATAATCATCATGTTTAAAAAAAAAACATTCTGCAGTTTGCATAATACAGGAATATATTACCCGTTTCCACATAGTATCCCTGCTCTTGTTACGGTCTCCATTTCCAGGAAGGTCCACGAGAGTGATGTTGTGGAGAAAACTGTTGTTTGGCACTTTGACAGTCACACACTTCACAAGTGGCCAATAGCACTTCTTGATACCGTTATCCCCACATTGATTAGAATCAGCTCTTGTGTACTTTATCATTTTAGCAGATAATTCTTTTGCCTAGAAAAAAAATAAAGAGATGAAAAATACAGATTTAGAGATTTAGGAACTTTCATCGCAACCCCCTACACCAACCCACAAGACCAGCAGGAGACACCCCCAAAGGACTTGGCGATCCTGCCCCCCATCCTGCTTAGAGACAAGTCGGGTAAAGTTGGATAAAATTTGGCATGATCCTTAAGACTGCAGAAGCTGAAAACAAAAAAAGATCAGGTATGTATCTGATTTAGTACCAGATATAAATATGGCTCAGATCCTATTTTTTAAGGTCACAAGATAAAATAGGCTGTTTACAAATCCAATTAAGGCCACATTTGCCTGTTATGTGAATGTAGCCAAAGTGAGAAAATGGATGACATAGAACCAGCTTGATAATAGCTGGTTAAAGATAAATTGCAGTGCTGATTATGTTATGCTCTCATGAAAGCAGAAGAAACTTAATTTTATTGTCCACATTTAAGAACCATTTAAAAACTTAATAACAAGCTATAGAAATGGTCAAATCACACAGCTCACAGCACCTTCTTGTTGTAATGTTCATTAGTGGCCATTATTAAGAGGTTTCCCTTCATAGATCAGTAAAATATACCCAGAAAAATCTGTCTTTTACATTTTTACAGTATATAAATTATTCCATTAAACATCTTTTATAGAAAAAAAAAAATCATGATTTCAGTTGTCTTGGTCTTCCATATGAATACTATTAAGCAACTTCTGCACCATTTCACTCTTACTGTTTTATAAGACAGTATCTTCTTTGTGGATTGATGGAACTCTGGTATTTTTCTGAAGTATTTGCTTCCCATTAGTTGTGAAGAAGATTTCTGCTTCCATTCGTCTCCATAGACTGCTGACAGCTTTGCAGCAACATCCTGAGAATCATCATCATCATCATAATCATCGTCATCTCTGTTTTGATCTGTAGAGGCCCTTTGACACTGTTTTATTGACCACACCTCATCTTTCCACTCCTAAATGTAAATAAAAGTCTCATTATATTTTATATATAGTATGAGAAACCATGATTCTTCTTTTTAAATGAAAGAGGGGTGAATTTTCATAGCTCTTTTACCTCTGTTGTGATAAATTCAATATGTGCCTCATAGTTTTCGTTGCTGGTGTTAGCCTCCACTTTAATCATGACTGAGGTACATGCAGTGACATCTCCGCAGGGCAAAAGATTCCTCTCATTAATGACAGCATTTATCAAAGAGGTCTTTCCGACTCCTGTTTTACCAAAAACCCCAACCATTTCTTTCTTCTTTATCTCCAAATCTTTGATTAATTTCCTGTTAAAAAGAAGAGAGGTGTTCTTTGATTACTTTAAAACATAAAAAAAATATATTTTAGATTTCAAAGTACATTTGATAATAACAGTATATGTCTTTAAATGCCACGGATTGCAGATTTTAATCAAATGTTAACAAAATATTTGTTTTTATTAAGATATTTTTTTAACTCTTTGATTACTTTAACTTAAAGAATTGCAAGATGATGTTCTACACCAAAAAAAGAGTGTTAGAAAGCAATAAACTTATAAGAAAATATACTCACCTTACAAAAGCATTCAGCTCTGTCTTTTCTCGTTTGTGTAGTTCACTAAGAACATTATCCATCGCATTTTTAACATCGGACACTGATTCTGCTGCTATTAAAAGATAGAAAATGAGAGAACAGTGTCATTTTGTATGAACCATGAATCTAAACTGAGAAGGAATTTAAATCCTAGGTCTTTTATACTGGCCCTGACATTTTATTGAAGCAAATAAATCTAAGTAATTTCCCTCTGGGATTATGAAAGTATTTCTGATTCTGATTCTAAATAAGATTTTTTTTTAAATTTATCATCAGTTATAATGGCTTCTTAACATACAATTTATTGTTACATTTTGTAGATCTTTTGGGAGTGGTTTCAAATGGAGCTCTGCGTGCGATAATCTGGATCCACTGTTCCCTTTCTATTTAGAAAGAACACTTCCTGCTGTATTTGTTTGAACTTGCTCTCTTAAAACTTAAAACATTCCTGTGGTTTAAAGTTTTATTTGATTTGCTTGGGTTTGTTTTGCATTCAAGCACCCTGAAAACAACCAACCTCACAGAATTCCTGATTAGCATGGAATTTAATTATTTATTTTTTTGTTTTAATACCGAAATAAATATCAGTAAAAAAAATTTTTTTTTATTTGTTATTGAGGTCTGTATATATCTTAACTATTCCACTGCCTTATTAGTTTGGAAGTGACGGCATCTTGATCTATATAATTGATTTTTTTGTGTCGCTTTTATAAAGAATTACCTGGCACGGATTTTGATAAACTCATCCGCTGTTTTGCTGGTGGTTGCCCTGTTTTCAACTCCTCTTGATCCAACTTTCTCTTCCCTTTCCCTAGTAACACAGAAAAACAGTTAAATGAGTTCCTTTCTAGGATTTGTTTTTGTAACAAACATATATGAAATATAACAAACTGTAATTCTGACCTCTGTCACTTGTAGATGGTCGTACCTAGGAATAAACGTACAGTTTTTATTATCTTTCTTAATCAAATAAAATAAAACATGTTTTTAAAGCTAAAAAAAATATTTTAAAAGCTTTTAGAGAATGAATGGGGGTATTGTTTGCACTATGGCATTCCCACCAATAAACAGTAGATATTTAACTAACAAGAATCATTTATTTCGAACACAATAAAAAGCAAATATAAGTAAATTAATAGTCATAACAAAACAAATCAAAAAAGAAGAAAAAGGAGTAGGAAGAAGTAATAAATCTTATTACTGTAAATCCTACCCCTGTTCTATATTAACATCTACCTATGTTTAAGCATACATACATATCTATATATATACACACACACACACACACATACATACTTACATATATACATATATATATACATACACATACTCATAGATACCTATACATATATATACACACATACATACCTACACATACACCCGTATCTCAAACACATGCACACATACATGCATATACATACACACCCACATAACTATAGACAGTATACACATATCTCTATCTACATATACGTACACATATATCCATACATATGCATATACCAAAAACCCTTATCTCTCACACTTATATATATATATATATATATATATATATATATATATATATATATATATATATATATATATATATATATATATATATATAGTTTTTTTTTTTTTTATTATTATTATTATTTCATCTCTCTTGACTTCTTATCGGTTTTAATTCATAGTGGCAGAGCAAGTTCTATTCCCCCTCAAACCCCCTCCTCCCTGTATCTTGTAAAGATCATTTGTTTATATTTGTTTTTAAACTGGTTGATGTTTGGACATTGCTTCAAATCCTTGCTCAGTCTGTTCCATAGCCTCACTCCACTATTTGTTATACAAAATCTTTTCCTTGCAGTTCTGTATCTTTGAATCTTAAAATTAGTTATCTCCCTTAAATCACACCCCCCCTCTCTCTCATAAAACAAATTTGTCAAGTGACTTGGTAATAGCTTATTTCTAGCTTTAAATAGAAATTGTGCTGTTTGGAATTCTATCATATCATAAAGCTTCATGATTTTAGACATTATAAATAGTGTGCTGGTGTGTTCTCGATATCCAACTTTATGAAATATATACCCCATTGTTTAACCATCTAAGAATCAGTAATTGCTAAACTTACCTCAGCCCGATCAGGTGTGTTTTTCTGTGCTTGTTGGGTCTAAATATAATAAAGTAATAAAAAGCTGTTAAAACATTGATGTGAAATTTTGAGAGAAGTTTCAAAAGTTGTGTGTGAACATATAATATGTAGGGTCTGATCTTTAATATTCCTTAAATATCAATGCATGTTTAGTAAAATAACAAAACTGAGCATTAAAAGTCTCTAGAACACAACCATCTCACCATAGGCAAGCTTGTTTGACGCATGCATCCCTCAATTGTGGCATTATAGGATTAATATATATATATGTGCCATGATATGTATTATATTCAATAATTATTTGGGATTGCTAATGAGAAATTTAGTTAAAATTTTAAACACCAATTACAGTCTTGACAAAAATGTTTGCTGTAGTCCTCTACTGTTTGGTAGAAATAAACAATAATACAGCTCTTTCGTATTTTTGTGTATTTTTTATTTTTTTTTTTTTGAAAAAAACTGCAATAAGCAGAGGAGAAATACATTTTAAAACAAAATTTAAATTATATTGCGCCAACAATAACCCAAATACTTCCACTAAAGGTGTGTTTTACTTTTCATGGAAAATAACTCAGTGTCTCTTATGTATAGAAACCCATAAATTATATTCTGTATTTCATTCAGAACCATAAGAAAGATTACTTATTTAACAACTGATAAAAAAAAACATACCACAAACCAAACACAAAACCACAAAATAGCCATCCAATATACATGAATGTCATACCTTAGTGCGAACAGTTGTATTTTTCTTTGCCTGTTTGATAAATAATTAGGGGTGACAAAAAAATATACAACATTTATATAAAAGTTATAGTTTTAACAAAAGCTTAGCTGCAACACATCTGCATATGATGGGATTATGATGGGAATGCACATTGTGTAGGAAATTACCTGCAACAGCTTTAGTTCCTTTCTGAAAAGTGCTCTCGGTCCTACTATGGGGATTAAATTTTCAATGTCTCGATCATCAAGGCAGTAAATATTTTTCTTGTTAATGCCTTGATCTGCAATTAAAAAGTGTAATGCTGACAATAAATTTCATATTTTAAAAGGTTAAAGGCATTTCAGAAAAGATTTGGGAATAACATATGCAATGCAATACTTAACCTTTAAATCTGCTTATCCACTCGTCTAGTCCCAATTTTTTTAATATCTGGCAAACAAAGTCATCCATGGCCAAAATAAATAACTGGAAAATTAAACAGACATGAATCAGCAACAATACATCTTTTATAAATCCAATCTAGTAAAAATTTTCAACTTAAAATTTAAATCTTAAAAGGAAAATTCGTACCGGTTTTAGAAGAAATCAAAGAAAAAAGACAGAGAGAAAATAACAAGAACAAGCTTCTAAAATAATTCCAGAACACACGGGCTATCAATGATTCAACAAGTTTTCCAACAAAAGTCAAACTGAATAAACCAGATTATTTGCGGAGAACAGGTTCACAACTTCTGTGAGCAGATTTGAAGTTGTTGTATATATATATACAACCAAATACAACCAAACAGCCAAAAAAAGGTTGGTTCATGTAGAAGAGGAGTGGTTTCCTTACGCACAGGTGTAGCACCGTACTTTCCATTTACTAGAAAATGCAATAAGTTTTGCTTTCTCTTCCTTGTCCTCTTAAAACCTTTAAAAAATGCCTTCATGTGACCTGTTAGGATGAGGTTTTATTGCCTAAGAGACCGTTAGGAGATATTTTGTTGTAAATTAATGCCATCTTTAACCATGAGATGAAATACAGTTTTTAATGTCATGTAAATACATCTTTTGCCCTTAAACAACTAAATGTATCTCTACCAAACCTATCAGATTATTAAATGCTCTAATCATTTTTCTCCCCTTATATACAGTACTTTATGTTGAGTATTATTAACTTCTTTGAAATCATTTCTAAAGGGACTTTCTAATAACTTTTAGAGGGAAGCCTAGTTTGACATACAGAACATATTTCTATGGAGAGATTTACCTTTCAGTTTTAGAAGGTGGAGCTGGCAAAGCTTTGCTTTCTGACTAATTTAATAATCTTAATTTATGGATTATTCCTCCCGCTTTTTACCTTTGACGCTGTACATTCTAACCATTGTTATATGAGCATTCTTCTTAATTGAATGTTGCAGAGTGTTTTCTTTTATCAAATCAATAAAAAAAAAACTTTATAGATCCCAAAGGAAAATTTAATGGTAAATAGTTTTATTTATTTCAAAATTAATCTATTTTTGCATATATTTATAGCAGTAACACCACGACCTGCCTAAACTAATTGCTTAGCTTCAGTGTTTTTGACAGTTGGTGCACAGGACTGGTGTGGTCAGAGAAATTACACTTAGTAATACATTGACTACGTTTATGATGGATAGAAAGATAACGCCCTGGTTAAGGGTTGGTTGGATATGCAGAGGAGATCAGGTAGAAAAGGGAGATCATTTCAGTGGAAATCTTGTATCCATAAACATATCTCAATAATCAGGCCTTTAAAGATTCTTATGAGATGATAAAAGTGCTCAGTATAGGTATATTATACCTATACCTATATTATAGGTATATAAATTTTTAAGAAGGGTTTTTGCAGGTTCCACAAACTGATATCTGTAATTTATCAATGTGTTGTTCTATACTGACATCTGCTGGATCTCAAACACCATTGTAAGTTACTTAGTTGAAACAAATTGGACACTCAGATTTGATTACCTTGATACCTATATGAAAATATGATTTAATTTTTTTTTTTTTTTGTATAATTTCATATTTCTATCTAAGTTATTTATGTTTAAAATATATTTGTCATCTTTTCAGTAACTAAATCAGTAAATAATGTGAATATTCCATAAAGTAAAAGTAAATGAACGTTTTGTGTATGTGATGTTACCTATTGACTTTATTAACAATATACTTATTTAAGAAAAATAAGGATCTTAAAGGTTTTGGTATTTAGACAATACCATATTTTTAGGCAAGTTATGTACCTTTTTGGATGGCAAATGGTATGATGGGTCAAGCATCTTTAAAAGGAGCGGAAACATGCCATCTCAAAAAGGCATCCTTGAAACCTCAGCCAACTTAGAAGTGGACCAAAGTTTCTGCTGAGAGGCTGAGACGTGCAAAAGCCACAGTTACAGGAGTTTCAGATGTTTTGTTTTTTTATCATTCTGTTAAAGCATTGTTGAAAAGCAATGTCTGAATTTGATTTGTTCATTTTCACAGATTTCTATTGGCTATCACTTTTATCAGACTTAAGTTATTTTATGACAATTGATTTTCTGTGTGTTGTTGTAATTTTTTTAATTAGGGAATCCAAAAATTTTTTAACTGTGTGTATTACTCTTCAAAAGTATCCATCAGCTGAATGGAACAATAACTTTTTAATAGCTTGGTAGAAGTTACTAATAGTATTAAAAGTTATGGGACAAAATTAAGGATTTTAACCTGCACCTGTATGACATGTGTGACATGTTATTGAATTATACAGTATATGGGTCTAAACTGCTGTTTGTCTCAAAACCAACATTGCACCTTATGGAGAGAATACTACACAGATGGCAAAATATGGTAATGAGAGCATCATGCTCTGCGGATGCTGCTTTTTTAAATGAGACACATAATTTTTGCCAACATGGATGACATTATAAACAGTTAACATTTCAAAGCAAAATGAGTAAAAGCTTCCTCTGTCTTTTCACAAGATGAACATATTGAATTAAATTAAATAACCTATTCAACAAAAAGTATGGCTTTGGGAAGGAATGCCCATGTCAAACAAAAGTCTAAGAGTAAACCTGTAAGGGTCACTTGAAGAAGGCTGCAGGCAAGAGGTATTTCAACAAACTGATAGATCTCAAGAAACGTTTGTAGTGCAGAATGGACAACATTATCTTGCCATGAGGACTTTAGGGACTCCTATCAAAGAAGTCAGTATTGACTTAAATGGTACGTTAACAAAGTACTGATTAAAAGGTCTGTACACTGAATCAAAAGGATTATTGTAACTTTTTGATTTGTTACTTTATACCTCTTACCAAATTTGGATAATATTCATTTTGTCTTTACAAGAAAAAAGTCACGACACATTATAGGAAAATGTTTCTGCTGCAAAAAATAAAAATAAAAATCCTGTTTAAGATTTCAGGTATGGACTAATAAGCGACTGAATTGTAATAATCATCAATACCACCACTATGAACAGAACACCTTGATCTCTAAAAGCCAGATTTATCCAATGACAATAGGGGTATAGAGGTGAAAATTATTTATAGGTTTGTTTAAGCACAAGCAGCAAAGCTTCTCAGATTTTTTATACCGTCTGATATAGATACGGTGAACACAGTTGCTCTGGACACTAGGTGGAGACAGTAGTTAGTAAATACTAACGGTGGAGAGGCCCATCTTTCTTTTAAACTAGATTTCTGTTGTTTAAATATTGATAGATAAATAAAAATAAACAAAACCATTACTCTCCCAGTTTCTTAAATCCAATCTTAATATGTATTTCTATGTCTCTATGAGCTGGAATGGAAAGGGCCCCAGATTTGATTTTAGAAATCTGGTCACCTTATGAAAGAGGTCTCATTCAACTAGTTGTAAGTTGACAGATAATTACAAAAGTTATGAAAACATTTTATTAGTGTGAAACGTTACTTCATGTTGGTTTAAAGCAGCACATTTTTTTATATATATATGACCTCTCCCTACAGGACCTTTTGGAAAAAGGCACTGCTGTAATCAGACTGCCCTCTTCAAACCATTTATCCTACAGCTACGCCACGACTGTCCAAGCAGCTGGAAGATGGATATCATGATCAAAGTCTGAAGAGGTAAGTAGTATTGTACATTATGTAATGTAAACTAATGAATATCAGGATCTCTATGTTTTATAGTAGTAGTAGTAGTAAATGCCAGTAGTAGAGGTTCTGAATAGGTTCTCCCAGTCCCAAGGCTGGTCTGCAGAGCCCTTGTACAAGCATTATCACTGATCATTATAATTTTAGGTCCTATGGTGAGTAGCACTCACCAGCAGTTCACCTATAGCAAGAATCAGTGGTGATTCGAACTGGGCTGTGATAGAGATATTGATGGTTTGGTAACACTCGCTGAACAAATGAAGTTATATTCACTCAGGTTGTGACTTTCTCAGCTTCACTGCCAGCCCCACCTGTCCCTGACAGTCAGGAGTGATCCATGCCACTGCTTCCCCTTCTCGCCCCATGTACAAATGAGATGCTGATTCATTTATGCCGTCAGGTATTATGCTGTGTTGTAGCCTAAAAAAATAACATCCTTGTTCATGTAGTTCAATAATCATGATAAGATTGATACTGTTTTACTGACTCACATGATATACTAAAGATCAGATAAGACCGACATGATTTGGTATGGATGATACAGAAATTTATCTAAAATAAAACGCCATATTTAATCTGGAAATTGATCTTTTTCATGTTTTTAGCTTTAAGGTAACATAAAACGATGTTAAAGGTCTGTGAGTAGTTATACCTTAATGCCACTAAAGCTATGTTTATTCCCTGTTTTAAATGTAGGTGTTTCTTGAAAGATTAATTTTAATGTACATTTTTAGAATTTCATTTCACTCAAAATAACTTCTGTTCCCATCTCTACTGGCTAGAGGCTCAAATCTATTTAAGATTACCAACATAAAACCTTTAATGCACTTGATAGGTATTATTGGACTACATGTTTTCATCTACTATTTATTATAATGACATGCAATATACATATGATTTGGAAATTATGTAAAAATCTAATGATCATAATATTAAGGCTTTTTTCCCTAATTCTTGGTCAGTTCATGATATATTTGTTTAAAGGTCAAAGTTTTAGTAAATATACAACACATTAAAATTTGAAATAAGGTACTTGGTTATCTATTTATTTATTTACTTATTAGTCCTCCAGGAATATATCAGCAATAAATCTTTATTTATATATTGCTGTAATTAACCTTTGCATAACTATACAGAGAGAGATTTTATTTTACCTTGGTATGATGTTTTGTCAATAGTTTCACTTTGATTCTGTTTCAGACTTTTTAGTAAGTAGTCTTTCCTAACCAATAGTACTTAGAGACCAACTGTACCCAGCAGCATTGACTGCCCAACATACTGAAACCTCAGTGGGACTGTGGCTATGAGATCCTCTGTTTAACTATCTTTACAGGGCGGGTCCAGCTGACCAGACCTTTCCATGAACCTGCTAAGTGATGACAGCTGTACGCAGCCACTGTGGAACAGCACACCTCCACAGAAACGCTCGGACAATGGTTCCTTCAAGACCAGATCCCCCTAGGCAGTCATCCAGCCAGGGTATATCGTGATGAGGAGCTGACTCAACCAAAGCCACCCAGGTGTGTCACACTCTTATGGCACAACAGCTCCTCTGTGTGCCACCTGTTTACCTCATCTCCATTCATTTCCATGAACTA